TCGCCACGGGCTGGATGGCTCGGGAGAGGATGGAGAAAAGAAAGGGGCGAAGGGGGCGTCCGCGCCCCTCTGACTCGGGCGCGTTTCTTTCCTGCTCCCTGCCCCGGGCCGGCCTCTGTGGGCCCCCTCACGCCCCCTGGGGGTTTGCTGGGGGTCCCGGAGGGAGACAGGTGGCAGCCGTTCATGGATTCGTGCAGACTTGGGCTCTGACCTTCTTCCCCAGTCCCTCTGCCGCTGTGCGTTGCTCAGGTGTCTTGAATAAGCCGCTCGGTGGCCAAAGCCATGCCCCTCGCGGCCCGTTTTCCCAGAAACAGAGCCCCACCCCAGCCCACCCCGCTCTCGAAGGGGAGCATCCGCCGCAGTGGCCTGTCCCTACTCGCCACGATGCACTGGGTTAATGGGAGCAGATAACACGTCTTTTTATTCGTATCTCTGGATAAAGAAGGCTGCATCTTGGGGATCCCCAAGCGCCCCTGGGCCCCATGCCAACCACAAAGTTACGGGTGGGAAACCTAAGGCCGGGCTACGCGGAGGCCGTGCGGCGCTGCTGGGGAGGGGGCGTGTTCTGACATGGAGGGAACACGGATCGCTGGGGGCCGTGGCAGCCGTGACCACGCAATACTCAGAGCCGGTGTGGGAGCACAGCAGCTGGTGGCTCTAGCTACTGTCCCCAAGGGTCCCCCAGTGCGTGCATGCCGAGGCCATGCTGCTGGGATGAATCTAATAAAAGATGTGCAGGGTCTGAAAACTACCACATGATGAGAGAAGTTGTACCAGACCAGAGTAAATGAAGAGATATGCTTTGTTCACGGGTTCGAGACTCGATATTACTAACATGACGGTTTTCTCCAAATTGATCTACAGATTCGAAACAATCCAGACAGATTTCAGTAGGCGTTTTTTCCCCCCCCAGAAATCAACAAGATGATTCTAAAATTCATACAGAAATGGGAATGGTCGAGAATAGCTGAACCGGTTTGAAAAAGAGACGAACGCGGAGGACTCTGTCTCAGGTCACCGTAGTCGAGGCAACACAGTGACATCGGTATTAGACAAAAGATCAACAGGATGAAATAGAACATGCAGGAATAGAAGCCCCCCCCACACACACACACACGGCGACAGTCGGTTTCTGACAGTGGCACCGAGGAACTCGGGGAGAGAGAGGGTCGTGTTGGCCCAGCTGCGCCGGGCCAGCCGGAGCCCTGTGGGAGGGGGCGTGAGTGCCCCCCACCCCAGTGCAGGCGGATCCGGGGGTGCCGTGCCGTGAGTGGAAGCACAGCCGCCCTGATATGATTTTGAATACAGGCGAGTAACTCCTGGAAACTTCCAAACAAATAAAGAGCAAAGCAAAACAAAGCAGTCACGCCTCAAGCGGGGACGTTCCTAGAAAATCCGGCATATACTAAAAGGACGCAAAAATGATGTCCGTTTCTATGTGAGATGAAACGCACCGTCACGCAGAGCAGTCGGGGCTGCTTTCCGGCCCTGCCCCCACCCCGCCTTTGCCATGCCAATGTTAAACTCTCCCCAAGGCTGCCAAACCAGAGAGTTCCACACTTCACGTCACACTCATTTATACGGGGGTACGTTTTCCTCCGGGAAATTCAACTGAACGTCCCCAGCCCTGCAGACCCATCTCCCTGCGGGCGGACACGGTGTCGCTCCCACGCCACAGCAACCGAAGCCGTCCGAGGACCGAGCCGTAGGGCCCAGCTCACCGAGTCACTGGTTTTCACTGTGATCGACCTGCTCACGAATGGCCCCAGTTTGTCCCGAGCCTTTTCTGGGCACTGGCCCCCAGTCCCTTGCAATTCGTTCGGCTGCTCCTGCGGGAGTCAGGCAGAGTCGCTGTGTCACCTCGGGGGGCTGTTTCAGATGACCTTCCCCCTTGGAGGCCAACCGCGTCGACGTGCACATTCCCTGGAATCGTTCTGATCACCTCATTCTCCACCCGGAAACACTCTGAGACCTGGTTTCACGATTTCTTTGCCTTTCAGAAGAACGACCAGATTCGATCAAACAAAATGCACGAAAATCCTGAGACTTGAGTTGTATCATGGAGCAGTTTGTTTGTGACATCTTACGGGGGGCACCGCCAATTCAGAAACGCCACAAACACCTGGTGAAACCCAACGGCGCCCAGGACGGGGGGTCCCCAGGCCCGGGGCGTGGGGGGGCCCGGGGCTCCGGGCAAGGGGGAACATGCAGAGCATAGCATCTTTATTTTTTATAAACCTTCCACTGTCCAGCCAGGATTTGGGTGGCTTAGAAAGGATTTTATTTGCGGGGACGTTTGATGGAAGGTCATTAAGAGTATTAAGTGGCGGGAGATCCTCCGAAGCCTGGGATGACCCACGGTTCACGCGTCATCTGCTGTGAAATGTGGGATTTTCATTTTTCAAAAAGATTAGAATAAAAAGGTCCCATTCTAAGAGGCTTCGCATCAGAGAGTAACCCGCTGTTAATTTCCTCCACGTATCGACTCCTAATTTTCACAATCTTCCTATGCTGTTTGGTCAACAATTATCAGTTTCTTTTCAAGATCAAGCCAGCTGCTTCCGGTGGGACAGCGCTCGGCAGTTAGGCACGAATCGGCTCCAGCCAGCAGACCTTTGCGTTTTACACGTCACTGAGGACAGCAGGGCTTCACCGGGCCGCCTTTTGCATGCTTCCCATTTGTCTCTTTACGAAATCCCTGTGTGTGCCGCTTGCTTATGTGTCATTGTCTCTAATCTTCAGCATTTCTCTCCAATCCACGGGGGGACATTCCTCCAGCCTCGATGAGGGACAGCAAGTGAAACTTGTTGGTCAACACTCTGAACAAAACAGACGGGCGAGCAAAGAAGCGTGTGACACAAGACAGGCAGAAATTTGGGCCTCTCCCATTAATCATGGTTCGCAGCTGACAAAAAGTGACAGTCATTGATGTGGCCCTTTGAGAAACAATCTGGAACTTCAGCGCCCCGGGAGATCGCGTTCGTTTTTGCTCAGTGACGACGGAATTAATGTGTGTCATCGAGGGCTACTTGGAGGGGCGCTCCGTAAGCCAGAGTTTCTGGGACAAATCCACACCAAAGTCACCCGTTTTTCTGGCTTCTTACCATGCGGTTTCGTGTCACCTCATATAACAAGCACCGTCCCCGGATAAAAGATGAGAGTGCCCATTCGTGTGCAGTGTATTTTGCCAGGGTAGAGAGCTTCATTCCTCAGGTAGGTCCTGGGGGACATGCAGCCCTTCTTCTTAGATGTGGGCTCGGTGTCAGTGACCTCCCCTCAAAAGACGGCGTAATGATCAGACGCGCATTTTTCTTCTGATAAGGGGCGGGTGCTGGCACGCGGCGCAGGCTCCACGGCTGAGAAGGGCGCAGATCCAGCACGGATGACGGACGCTCGACCCGCCGAGGATGCGAGAACGTAGCACAGTGACACAGATAGTAGATTCTGGACGGTAAGGAAGAATAAGCCTGATTCACTTTCGATACGGAGATAGACACCAGTCTCCTCCCTCTGGCCACGTATCAGAAGGTCACACGTCACATGAAGTGAGACCGGACTGCACCAGGCGGGCAAATGAACTGTACGTTTGCCTTGGGCACGTCGGCAGGCGCTGGAGTCCAACAGGTCGGCGGACTGTTATTTAGTGTTGATTATCGCGCCTCCCAAAATAAACGCGTGGCCTAAAAACTCTGAGTAAATAAACCGCGGATTCCCCATGATACCGATAATGCGAGTAAAAACGACCGGGAAGGAAGCGATAACGCTGACTCCTGTTACCACCGCCGTCTCTGTCGGCCGCAGCATGGGACGCGATGACGGTGACCGCCTCGGACCCCCCGAGACAAGGGCCACTGCGCCTTGGGACGATGATTCAGGAAGACTATTCGCAATCAGGATTTACATCCACTGACGTTAACTATAGTTAATTAATGCTTAAATACTGTATTTCAAATTTAACACCTCTCCTTAAGATTCAGTTTTCTATGTTCTATAATGTATATAATACGTTGATGAGGCAGGATATGTGTTCTGTGAATCAATGAGTATTTATCGAGGATGCATATTCAAACTATTTGAGATAT